TAGATGATTAAACCACAAGGTAAACCAGGGCCATCTATTTCTCTAGCAAACAACCAAAAAGGACACCTATGGTGACTAACTCTTCAGGCCCTTCAAGCCAAGAATTGCAGCTCTGTGAGATGTGTGCCAGTCTATGCTTCCGGGCTCAGATGGCCATTGAAACGATTGAGCCGCTCTCGTGGCTAGCTCATCAACGTAGATAGCGTGCTCTTCCTTGGCAGGCACTTTCGAGCAAATCACCCTACGGCTTCGCCGCGGAAAAAATGCCCTGCAAAGATCGCCTACCAGCCTGTCTACATATGGTGTTGCCGTTGCAGCATTTAGATATTACTGCAGTTAGTAGTTCTAGACCTCAATACCAAGTACTGAACATATGCAGCATGTTGTGTCCAAACCTGCACAAGGACAAACGCTTGTACTTTGACTGGGTGGAAACTCCCAAAACCATCACAGGAAAAACACATGCTCATGCTGAAGGCTAGAAATGAAACTGACACTATCCGAAGCCTCGCAACCGTGAAGGTTAGATCTGTTCAAACTGCGTGCCACCCCCTCACTTTGTTGCTGTTGACCCCTCTGCAAAAAGTTTAACTTTTTGTGGGTTTAGTGGAAAACCCCTTGATTTCCCAAAAAGTGAAAGTCTAAAGATCCAACCCAATAGCAGTCAAGCTCAAGGCATGCTGTGCCTCCCTGCCTCCTGCAAGAGCTGCTCAACAGAGTGCCGAGACAACCTGGGAGGATGACTCTGCGCGCGCCCATCCTCAGAGCCGCAAGGCGGCTGGCTTTGCTCCAGCGTAGAAAGAAGCGGCCAACGTGGGTACCATGGATGCGAGTTCATACAAACAAGTTTTGGAATCGTCGAGTGTGTTTGAGCACGGCAATGAACAGGCCCTGCCACAAACATACCAACACTTAGCTGCCGGCCTTGACGCGGACAGTTGCCACATCTATTTACAGCGCACAAATAACTCACTAATGAAGGCACGCTGGCGCTACGGACTTTCTTGGAACTACGTGGGGTGGCTGGACCAGTGGCTGGCGGCTCGTTAAGCAGTGAATTGTGCAGACAGTCAAAGTGGAATCCAAGGCCCATCCTTGAAGCTATCAGGCAGCTCACCTGTCTCATAAATGACTGCTCGGGTCTCTCCAGCAAAGGGCGCATATCCGTTCAGCGCAATGCGCGAAGTCGAGTCATCTTCGTATCATCCAGGGCCCTGGTTTCGGCCCGCTGGACTATGGCTGGAGCTCTGGCCCCGTGAGATCCCCAGTTGCCATGAGAGGCTGTGCCAGCCTCCGTAAGTTGACTCCTCCACACCTGCAACATTTATCCGCTTGCGAAGCTTGGCTCTTGCGTTTGAGCAGCTGCGAAGCCAAAACGCCACATTATCCCAGCACGTAGCGCCCCCATGTTTGTTCAAGCAATATCTCAAACAAGTGAGAAACGCTTGAACATGCACCCACCATACATCTTGGAAACCAGCTCACGCCTTTCGGTGCCGACTCACTCACTCACTCACTCACTCACTCACTCACTCAATCAAACCAATCAATCTATCAATCAATCAATCAATCAATCAATCAATCAATCAATCAATCAATCAATCAATGAATCAATCAATCAATCAATCAATCAATCAATCAATCAATCAATCAAATCAATCAATCAATCAATCAATCAATCAATCAATCAAACCAATCAATCAATCAATCAATCAATCAATCAATCAATCAAGCAAGCAATCAATCAATCATTCAAATCAATCAAACAATTCAAATCAAATCAAATCAAATCAAAAAAATCAAATCAAATCAATTCAAATCAATTCAATTCAATCAATTCAATCAATTCAATCAATTCAATCAATTCAATCAATGCAATCAATCAATCAATCAATCAATCAATCAATCAATCAATCAATCAATCAATGAATGAATGAATGAATGAATGAATGAATGAATGAATGAATGACTGAATCAATCAATCAATCAATCAATCAAATCAATCAATCAAATCAGATCAATCAAATCAATCAAATCAATCAAAGCAATCAAGGCAATCAAAGCAATCAAAGTAATCAAAGCAATCAAAGCAATCAACGCAATCAAAGCAATCAAAGCAAGCAAGCAAGCAAGCAAGCAAGCAAGCAAGCAAGCAAGCAAGCAAGCAAGCAAGCAAGCAAGCAAGCAATCAATCAGTCAGTCAGTCATTCAATCAAATCAAATCAAATCAAATCAAATCAAATCAAATCAAATCAAATCAATCAAATAAATCAATCAATCCATCCATCCATCCATCAATCCAATCAATCCAATCAATCCAATCCAATCCAATCCAATCCAATCCAATCAATCAGAAAACCCGGCACTTCAAGGCAAACCCAAACACAGCACTTCCTTTCCAACTAAATAAAAATCGGCTGATGCTGCCCGAGGTGGGGCGCTGTGAAGCGTTTACAATTAAGTGGGACCAGGGTAGACCCAAAGTACTTGATCCATTCTACGGGCCATGCATCGACCATGCAGGCTACTAGAAGGTAAGAAACCAAAGTCGTGATAAGTGTACGGTTGAGGGACACATTAAAATGCTGCACCAGTTGGCATAGAAAAAATCCTATGAATGCTTCATTACTGGGATCAAACCACTTACCGGCTAGTGCAGGATCGTCCGTCCACAGTAGAAGCAGGATATTTCACCCCACCGCCCTTGCCCTTCGCTTGTCTGAGCCCAGCACCGTTTCATTCTCTGCTGAGTCCACGATCTGAATAAAGGTACGGCGGTACCTTAGCATACAGTCAGTCGGCGGTTTCGCGGCAATCCGCAAGGTATCTATCGCGAAGGAGGCCTTCTGAGGTCTCTCTCCAACTGACGAATGCTCTCAGACTTGGACATGTTGGTGGTCGTCAAAAACCAGACCGCTACGAGTCGGCCAAATGGAAAACATAATCCGAAAAAAATAAAACAAATCGCCCATTTGACAAACCAAGAAGGGGGGGAAGGAGTGCATTATCGAAATGATATAGCTCAAGAACCTGTTGCAACATCCAAATGAAACGCACATTCTTGTGTACATGGAGTCTGTAGAGTGGAAGCGTGAGGCGCGCTCCGTACGTCGGAACCTGCAACTGATGCCACGGTGGCAGTGGAGTGCTCCTGTATCATCGTGCCAGCAAAGGCGTTCACAGCAATACAAGCCTTTCGCCACCGGCATAAGCATGGGCTGGTTGGCGGAAGAAAGGCACGCTGAGAAGCATGTTTGTTCCACGAAAGGTGTCTGTCCGTTTCACACGAGCGGCGCACGGTAATTAAGCAGCCGCTGCTGCTGACTCTCCTTCTTTGCGCCCAACAGACGAAACGACAAATTCAATGATGCAAGTTGCAATCAGCAAAAAGGATGCGACACAAATAGCATAGAAACAGATCTCATTGATAGAAAGGCTTCTTTCCGAATCACTCATTAGAGCGCGTGCTTCATTCCTCCGAATCCATTGGCGAGTCTTTTTTCATCCTCCCGTGACTTTGCAAGTGATGGGCACGTTGCAAAGAAGCGATCCGAAGCCCGAGGGTCGGGCCACGCATTCGCATCATTCGCACACGCTCAACCACGGCACTGCCCAAATTGACTTCACAAAAATGCTAAGCTAAGAATATTTTGAAGCGCTCTGAACACATTTTGGTGGTTGACCGCTTGCCCTTAGCAGCTGCGAAACGAGAGCGACAAGAGACGTGTTTGAAGTTTGAAGAAGCCACCATTCAGAAATTCGCAGCTTTTTGCGCTGTAGGTGCTTGGGTCGACTTTCCCCATTGGAACAGCATGGCTCCCTCTTGACCAAGCTACACCTTCTGGTTTCTCCAATCAAACGTGTCCCCGTTATAAACAAGTTTAGGTCCAGCTCCCTCATCATCATTGCAGCCAAAGCGCTCCAGGTTCTGCATCGCCAGTGTCAATGCAGGCTGAATGACTGCCGGGACTCCTTTGAATCCTGGATCCAATAAAAACAGCGGTTTTGCAAGTGGCTGAAGAGCAGGCGCTGACGACGGGCTCCCCCCTATCCCGCTTCCTCCGCGCCTGGAAAACAACGCATCCAGCCGCTTCGGAAAACTGCCAGAAGTCTCACAATGGGCATCGTCATTCAACTTGTGGCTGATAGGTAGTGGAAATTTAGACCAAGTGACCTGTCTCTGATACTCTTCCTAGCTTGACAGCATGCCTATGCAAAGGGCGAATATCACGCGCAACAAGCACAGAACCCCATTGCGCATGTGCTGCAAATCATGCCCACCAGCGTGCCACAACGTGCCTTAACTGCTAGCCTTAGCAATTCTCAACGGTTTGGCCGCCCAAAAAGAGTGATTTCTTGAAATATAATATGTTACTTGATTGTTGTCCGTTGCCATTGAGTAGAGCCATACAATCCCATGGATGATGCCGTGCATTTATGCTCGCCCACATCCTGTTACTCACATTTGATTGAAGGGACTGCACAACTTCGTGCTTCTTGGCATGCAGCGCATCATCGGTACGGACGACACGCGTTGACAGTATCTGAGCCGGATGGACTGGAGGGGACTCTGTCTCACAGAGAACCAAAGCAAAGCTCTGCCGCCATAGCCCGTCTGGGTAGATACAGTGTCGATGTTTCTATTCTGACCTAAACACATCGGATGAGGCTGCAGAGTTCAGGGCAAAAGGAGTGCCATGAACACCAAGCGATAGCCTTGCACTAGCTCAACTCGCCTGCCTAAGATCTTACAGATGCTCAATTGCTTTGCCCGAGGGATATAGCATACACCTCCTGTGGAGGAAGCATGCCCAGCCGTGCATAAGCCTTCCACATCAGCTCTCGTTTCCTAGCTTGAAAGTTGCAAACGAGTGAATGCACAGGCGCGATGCCAGCCTCGCTCTTAAAGACGCCATTCTTTGACCAAACTGCCATCAACTTAAGGTAGTCCTTTAAAGCTCACCTTCGTCAACATCCCCCCCCCACAACCCTACCAGCACCTGCCGTGCATAGTCCAAGATGTCGGTTCCCTGGCAAAAGCACCAAACTATCACCAAGCTGTCTGAAGGAGTTGAGGACAGAACATCGTACGCCAAGCATGCGGTTGTGCCACAAAGCTTCCCTGTATCCCCTTCAGACCTGCTTGCTGGTTGAAAGCTGCCGGGGCCCAAAAGATCTGTAAAAGGAGTTCAACAATGATGTCGTTGAGGGTTATGCAGAAGTCAATAGTCCATGTGCATTTTGTTTCAACCGCGCAAAGGCTTTGTTTTAGCTTGAGTCCTGTGCTCTGTTTGACAAGGCAAATAATCAACATCCGACAGCGCAAAGCCATTGTACGTTAATATATTCTGCGCTCCTTGCGCGCATGCACGGGCCTCGGGGAGTTCATGGCTGCTTGTGGCAGTTTGGGTCCAACCGGAGGGTGGCCAAAACAATAAATTTGTATCGGAAGCCGCCGCGAAACTGCCCAAATCAATCCCTGCGCACCTGGCAATATCAAAGAGTCTCCTGTTCTCAAAATGGCCAGCCGCCCAAGTTGAATCAGAAGAGGCCCCAGCCCTCCTCTGGGCTCTCTTGGTCTGGCACTTGGCAGCGAGCTCGTTTTCACGCGCAATGAAACCTCCAGCACCTTCATTGCTGCGTTCTTTGCTCAGGATCTTGGTTTGAGGCTGAAGTTCCACGTTTTCGTTCCATCCGTTGTAGGTGTGTAACACATGGTATGCACATCTGCGTAGAAGCTGCCGATCAAGGAGCGCCGCGAAACAAACTGGATCTGGACTGACCTTCAGTGCCATGTTGGGCAGGCAAAAGCAGCAGTCTTGCTTTGATGCGGCGAAGGCTTGTTTTTTAGAACTAGTTGCCTTTGGTGTTGGCTTCTTGCGGTTTGTCTTTTGCGTTGTTCTTGCTCTTCGGATTCAAGCTTTGCGCGTGTGCGCGTGTGCTTGGAATCCTGGGGTCCGAGTTGCCCGATTCACCCATCTATTAGGAGGCCCCCCGGAGCAACTCGGACCACCCCCCGGAAGCACCCGGAAGCAGCCCCTGCCAGACCCCCCTCCTAGGCTAAAATCCAGTCATGGGCACATGTTGTCTTGCGAGCTGGGCGCGGGCTTTCAAGGTTCACCACTAAAGAGGATTCTAATCAAGCAGGTCGTTCCTAGTCGACAAATCCCAATGGCCGCGGGCATCGCCCCAAACATGATCCACGACCACCGCAAAGGGCACGCATTAACTAGCGCGAACTGCTACCCCGAATGCCAATTGGCTATGGTTTTGATTGTAACGCGCTTAAGTACAGCGAATTCATCAAATACGACTGGAGGGCAGTACCGAAGGAAACTGCAGGGACATTGCAGCATCATTTCGGCCAAATTGCGGGAAGCCAACGAAACAAAATCGAATTTGTTGCGGGGACCACTGAAAACCGCAACACATTCAGGTTGAACGCAGGGAAACTGCGAAAATTGACCAAAATGATGCTGCAATGTCCTGCAGTTTCCTGAGATACAGACCTGCATTTCAGGAATTTGGGTTGTTGTGCGGAATAATTGTGCATGTCCCCGTTGTGCTTGGGAAACCTGCTGTTTTGCAGCTGGCGTTGTGCGTCTGCGGATTCACAATGTGCTGGTTGGCCTTCTGGGCCGCGAACAAGCTTTCCCCTTTTGCACTCTTGAAACGTAGGACGTTTGTAATTTCAAACACGCACGCTCGAGAGCACTTTCTGCAAATGTACTTAAGTTATCCAGATTTGGCACGTTGCAGCTCTTTCGTGCCCGACCCCGTCAAAACAGGGAGCTGGCCTTAAGCACAGACCTGACCCCGGATTCAGGAAAGTTGACGAGCGAGTCTCTGCTTGCCAAATAGCAACACTCTGCAGAAATGACTTGTAGTCCAAAGATCGAGATGAGTCGATAATGCTGAGGCTCCAAGTAGATCCCTAGATCTCGCACAGAACATGTGCTAGGGCCTTGCTGACTGCGAAAGCACCGTGCTCCCCGACTCCTCATGACTCTGCAAACTTAACCAAATCACATGTGCCACCCGCAGCCCTGACCACCCAGAGCAGCTTTGCAACATCTCAAATGCAAACAGGGCCAAGTTCAGATTCGTCACGAGCGCCTCATGGCTTCAATCTTCATTCACCAATTGATTAAAAATAATGTATGCCCATGGACACACTCATGCATGCCCTGTCATATATTGAGTTTTGCCACATACACCGTCAATTACTGTGCCACCATGTCAATGGCTTCGATGTGTTTTGAGTTTGCTCGATTTGATTCAAGGACTCTCTTCGAGCATTGAAGGCATTGGATGGTTCTTCAAGGTTGATGTTTCCATTTTCTCCTCATGCGCCGTCGCAAAACCTTACATTCTCGCAATGCCTAGAAACCCTGCCTTCCCCCCCTCTCAGTCTCTCGGTCCCTGCCCCGTCACTGGCTTTGGAGCGATCCTGAGACGGTGGATTCTGCTTGGTGGCTGGCCCTAAACATCACGCTTCCTCGCCTCAATGTAGATCCACTCATGACTGCCCATTCCTCACCTTCATGTGGATCCCGTAACGCAAACAACGAATCCGCAACGATTCAATGGGCGGCTGAGTTGTGCCAATCATTGTCATTGCCTGTTGGTCACGGATTGGCACGAATAGATTCGATGAACGGCGGTCTTGACCTTGATTGGATGAACAGCGTCTCTCTGTTACCCCTTGTTTGTATTTGAGATGTGCTCAAGCCAGCTACATCAGGAAAAACACGATCTGAGCATGACAAAACACTGAACAGCCAGTACCGAGAAGTCCACCATCTTGGTGAGTGTGACTGTCTTATTTGTTCAGTTCTGCTGCAAGTGCAGGCATCATCCCAAACCACCAAAACAGCCAAACAAGCATTCAAACATGGATGGTGGTGGTGGTGGTGGTGGTGGTGGTGGTGGTGGTGGTGGTGGTGGTGGTGGTGGTGGTGGTGGTGGTGGTGGTGGTGGTGGTGGTGGTGGTGGTGGTGGTGGTGGTGGTGGTGGTGGTGGTGGTGGTGGTGGTGGTGGTGGTGAACCACTCTACCTGATTGTGTACTTGTTGGCGCAATCAAACCAATTGTCGGGGAGCATCCCATCCCGCCTCTGGATCGTGCGCATGTGCAACCTGCAATGTCGGCGAGGGTACTGCAGTTTCAAGGCAAACCTTTTAAGCAAAACTCATTGGAAACCCATGGGACACCCATGGGACACCCATGGGAAACCCATGGGAAACCCATGAAAAACCCATGAAAAACCCATGGGAAACTCATGGGACACCCATGAACAACCCATGGGAAACCCATGGGAAACCCTTCGGCAACCTGTTGGAAACCCCATAGGAGCAGCCCGGATTCACCCGACCTTGCGGGCGAAGGCCAAGATGTTGGACTCGCTGACCCCCGACTGAGAGATCTCCGCCTGCAGCGGGAACTGGAATCTGCTATCCGTAATGGAAGAGCTGCGGGTTTTGTATGGCTTGATACTGGGACATTGGCGCAAACCCCACACCCCCCACACCCCCCAACACCCTCCCGCCCAATTCACTCACTCTTTTGCGATGTTGATGGAGTCCTCCCCTTGCCTGCTCACACCTCAGGCCATAGACTTGCTGGGAGATGTGAGTGCCTGTGATACTGCCGCCCCTTCTCCCCTTCCTCACGCCAGGCCGCGCAACCCCACTGCATTTCGTCCGAGCGCTGGATGGCGCGCACGCAACGAGTTGCCGTCATTCCGGAGCAGGGGGAGCTCGCCAGACTCGCTGCCTTCACCTCCTCATCGAGCTTTGGTGTGCTCAGAGCTTGCGCACATTTCACTGGCAAATCCTGCGGTGGTCAAAAAATGTCAAATATCCCCCACATGTCAGGCTGGACAAACTGATTGAGCTGTATTCGTTTAGAAAGCCTTTTGGCAACAAATGGCATGGTTGCATACAGTTGCATAGACCATGTGACGTCCAACTGCGTCCCTCGCACTGCAACTGATGCATGCGTGTGCGTATGCGTTGCTCACATGTCTCAACGGAAGCCATCCCTTTCCCCTAGCCATTTCCTCGCTTAGGTTGACGAAGGTAGAGAAGAGGCCGGAGGAAAGGGATGGAGAGGGGAGAAAGTGTCATGTCCCACCATTTGATCCTTTCTTACCCCTTAAAACTCCAAGCCCTGGAAAAATTAATCTTTCATGATTTTGAGAGTACATCCTGTGCCTATTGTCTATTCTCTTCCTACCTCATTTCATTTGTAGAGACTTGGAGGTAGGAAGTGGAGAGCCAGCGGTCTCTTTGTTGTGGTTCATTTGGACGGCTGGAGAGGGGCAAGAATTCCATTCCATTTTCTTGGGTGTTTTGTGGGATTCTGCAGGGAATGGTATCTTCGCCTGTTGGTGAAATCCCAAGAGCGGGAAAGAACAACATGGTACTGTTGGACCTGATTGGTGGTTGAACTTAGATAATGATTCGCGAGTGCACGGTGAACCTTCATTGGTGAGAGAGTCGATGAGGGAAGCATATCCCTTTCCTTCATCAGCCTTCCCACTCCCTTCGCTCGTTTACGCAGCGGCTGTTAGCGACGGAAAGGTTATTTCGTAGCAAAATTCCCTTGACAGGTGAGTTCCGTTCAGCATGAGCGGTGTAAGGACTTCTCTCAGAAATTGAATCATGTTTGATCACAACGATTCCAACGGCCTGACCATAAGATCCTGTCCCTTTCATCATCCTTTCCTTTCTACAGGAGATCCTATTCTCTGAGACTGTGGTATTGGAGTAAAGGGAAAGGGAAGGGATTCCTCGTCATCTCACCCACTCCATTCGTTCGTCTACCTGAGAATCCAGAAGTAAGCCGGAGACAAAATGTCCTTGAGATCTGATAGGTATGCATTAGCAAAAGGACTTCGCTCGCAAAGGACAAGTCTTCCCTGCAGCCAAAGGAAGCTTATGAATGGAAAAGTAGGAGATTGAACAACTAGAAAGATGGGATTCTTCGTTTGGGCAGGTAATTACTGTCAAGCAGAATCCAAGGAATATGAACATGATATGAAGAACGACAGTATTATTAACACAAATACAAGTAACATAGCATGAGTGATTCAACATAAGAGGACAATAGATTACACCTCATAATTATATATATATAAGGATTTGATCCACTTTTTAATGGTCAAAAATCAATATATTTCTACTTAGCGAGGCAAACTCGCAATCGCAAATCACTGCGTTTTCAACTCGCTGTGGGTTAAAAGCAGGGAATCGCAAACGCAGCGATTTGAAATCGCTAGCTTTGAATCGCTGCTTAGGGGCTCTGATTGCGAAACGCAGAAAGCATTGGTTTTGACATCGCCTTGCTTTCTCTGCACGGGAAAGGGCCAAAAGTGATATCTGAAGCCACAAGCTTTTGCGTCTAAAGGGAACACTCCCAAACCCATTTTCCCAAGACGAAATTCGTTTCTAGAGCCTTGCCGCACCTGCCGCCTCTCTGTCTACCCAGCCAAACCACAATCACAAAAAGCAAACATCGCTCCCAAACCCATTTTGCCTTCCCCTGATGAAAATTGTTTTCTGCTTCGACACCCAACCATATCCAACCAAGCTTAGCACATATCCCCTCAAACTAACTACTATTCCCCAAATCGCTGCGATTCACCTTGGGCTCGCAGAAATCGCAAATCGCAATCGCACAAATCGCTGCGTTCCCGCCGCGCTAAGTATTTCTATGTAAGGCCTCTTTATCAGGAATGAAGGGAATGGACTAAAAGCGAGTCGCCTCTCTCTATCACTAGTCAAGGTGTGTGAAGCGGCTTAAAAGCGAGCAGTCTGCCACCATCACATTCTTACGGCAAGATCACAGAGGTAAGAGCAAAGTATTATCTCTTCATCTATCACCTCTACATTTTGAAATAAGTCTATCTTGGAAACGATTCTATCTTTCCAGGTCATCCACAAACCCAAAAACAACAAAAGGACAACATCTGCTCACCCCCACATGTCTCAATAAACCAAGGTAAGTCCTGTAAGCGACTCACTACAGTCCATAAACTTGTTTCCTTGCTATGCCTGGCCAGGCTGGCAAGGAAGAGCTTCCCACCAGGCAGCTGATGCTAATGGGGCGGTCAGCTCCAAGCTGGCCCATCAAGCTGCCAGGATCATGTGCTCGTGAGCTGACAAAACAGCAACAGGATGAAGCCTGACGGCTGTTCTGGCACTCCAAGCACCTGTGCTCTTGTGCTACACTCATTCCCTTGGTGCCAGGTTTACTGTTGTGTCCTCATTCAAGCTGGCTCACTTGCCCAAGGCTTGCCAGTGGAGGGCATTCTCATTTTAAAAATGAGATGCAGTAAATGAACGCCCCTCTCTAATTCTGGATTTATGGTGGATTGCTCACTGCCTTTCGAACAATCCCATTTGGGGGGACCAACTGTAAAATCAATCCGCGCACTGTCACGCTTTCTTGGGGAGCTTCGTCCACCTCCATCCGCCCGAGTCAAGCTTGCTATTGACTCCCGGCCTGGCCTGGGCCAAGGACACCCCGTCCGACTCGCTGCCCACGCCAGAGCGCGAGATCTGCTGGGCAGCCTAGCCGAAGCTGGCCCAAATGCTGGTGCAAAGAGTGCGATGTTTTTGGTGCAAACATGTGTTAAAATCGACATGTTCTACGCCTGGCTTGCTGCTTCTGTTTTGTTTTGCCCAGATGGTCTCACAAGGAACGTTTCGAGGCTCCCACAGGTCTGGCATGCGAATGAAAACCGTTTCTTTGAACTGTCTTGTTGCATTTTGACTCATATCAACTTCAAGTGTGACTTTGTGCAAGCACTGGAGTCCGCAATAATTTCGACAGAGTGCAGGAGTCGGTTGCGCAAATCTGGCTGGTGTGTCAAGACCCCTGGGGTTCCACGCAGCAAGCCTGAACAAGTACCCCTCAGCATTCTCGTTGAGATGTAAAGTGTGTACTTAGCCTCCCCATTCCACTGTGAAGGCCCGCACAAAGGCATTCAATGACAAGTGGTAAACAGAGATTGTCGTCAGGCCATATGCCCTACACCGAGGAGCGCAGCGCATCACATGCTGACCAACAACAGCGATATGGGCCCTCAAGCATGTGCCAGACTCAAAGCCGCTCCTGTCGCGCGAAGGCCAAGACATCGGCGACGCTTCCCTGAGATACTCCCGAGCGAGAGACCTCACCAGCAGCCTGGCAAGGGACAGGACGACACCAGACTCAAACTCCAGCCTGGGACAACTCGGACGGCTATTGATTCGCTCAATGTAGCGACTTTGCCCTTCATGCCCGAACAGAAAGGCCTTGAACATGAGGTGGAACTGATGGAACCAATGCTGCTGAGTTCCAAAGGAAAAACCACAAGGTGAACACGCAGGCTTGTTTTGGATGTGTATTAATGGTAGATTCTGCTAGCAACATTGATGCAAGATACGAGTCCGGGCAATAGTGACAAGAAATCTGTATGGCAACGTTTGTCAGGCAAAACATATTATAATAAAT